TATGTCCCACTTCCTACCGGATGTCCAACTCATTTGACCAATGTATCCCATTTCACGACAAATAGCATCAGCTGAGTAATCAGTGAAATAATCGTTACAAACTGTTCCTCCATCGCTGATTAGTAACCCAAGAATGCCAGCTCCAATAGTATCACCATGAGAGTCCACCAGACTAAAATCTGTGAGTTGAATTCATTAAAAATAAACAACCCTAGAAATTTGTGAGAAATTATTTCGAGATAATCATAAGTTTTCCCCGAGAGAGTGGGGATGAGTAATATTATTATTAGCAAATCTTAAAAGGAAAAGATATTTCAACCTGGACAATCAATTTGTATGCAAGGTTGACTTTCAGACACTTCCCCAACACAATCTGCACCACCATGAGCTGAAGCAGGGTAAGTACAAGTCCTTGTTCTTGTTTGAGAACCTTCTCCACAAAAAGCTGAACAGTCTGACCACTCTCCATAATCAGAGAAACCACCATCAACTAAACATGAATCACTATGTCAATTTTGTAACTTTCTTGAATAAAATTTAATAGACTGTCATTTTATGGTACCTTAAATTTTCTCATTATATTTGTATATTTGAACAAAATCGAAATTTGGACTCAAATTTAATTCATGATGTTGACTCACCAATTCCATCACACTGTAAAAACACATCTTCACTGTGACCACAATTTCCCGATAATCTAAATGTACACGAACTCCATTCGCCGCTGCTGCATGAAACGTCGTCCAGGGTAATATAATAATTTGACTGGATGCCCCACTTACTACCGGATGTCCAACTCATTTGACCAATGTATCCCATTTCACGACAAATAGCATCAGCTGAGTAATCAGTGAAATAATCGTTACAAACTGTTCCTCCATCGCTGATTAGTAACCCAAGAATGCCAGCTCCAATAGTCTCACCATGAGGGTCCACCAGACTAAAATCTGTGAGTTGAATTCATTAAAAATAAGCAACCCTAGAAATTTGTGAGAAATTATTTCGAGATAATCATAAGTTTTCCCCGGGAGAGTGGGGATGAGTAATATTATTATTAGCAATTAATTAATAAAAGGAAAATATATTTCAACCTGGACAGTCAATTTGTATGCAAGGTTGACTTTCAGACACTTCCCCAACACAATCTGCACCACCATGAGCTGAAGCAGGGTTAGTACAAGTCCTTGTTCTTGTTTGAGAACCTTCTCCACAAAAAGCTGAACAGTCTGACCACTCTCCAAAATCTGGGTTTTGGGCATTTGAAGGTGATTTGATCCTAATCTAAATCCTAATTGGGCCAAAATATGGGTGCGGCTGCACCGCGGGCACCGGTCGCGGTGGGCGGTTGGGGTCCGGAACCCCTTCAAAAGTTTTGTCAGGGGTCCTAGTTTGTTGGTCAGAATCAAGTTTCACAAAAATTTCAGGCTGGACACCCCCGTCTAGTATTTTCTCAATAAGCATTTATAAGGAATCAACAAAGCGTGTAATAGAACTGCAAAGCTCAGGAAACAATGAAGAATGGCCACTTTTTCTGTTAAATAATTACCCGGGCTACGTAAATCAACAAGATCAGGCACACAACTAATCAACTACCGAGAATTACCTGAGGAATAAGTAAAATTAGACGATTAGCACACTAGTCACTATCAACCATATGCCACATTTTTTCACTGCCCATTCACATTTCACTGTCATGATAGCGCTAGCAGGTGCCGATAAGACATGGGCTCATTTACTTTTATTTATTTTAACTATGGTTCAAATAAAGCACTATACAGAGAACTATACTATCGACGCTGCCCTGCCCACTATACTAATCGTTAATCACCAACACAAGTAGCTGTTAAAACAGTGCTTGTGATCATCTGTCAGTCTGTCGTATCAAATCAAATTATTTTTCACCATGTTTTTAATAAATCATGATATGCAAGTTTTAATTTTAAAGTCTTTGGTTTTTAAAAAAAATAAATAAAGGTTAAATTTTGAAAATTTTGGTATACCAGCCATGCAGCCTCAACACCATATTGCCAGATCCCAGTTCAGTTTCTAACGGAGTTTTATATTAACAGGAAACGATGTAACAGAGTCGATATATTTTAATGTTGCTATAGTGATACTATGGGGTGGCAAGTCCCCATGGCCATGCATCGTGGTCCGATAGTTTCAATTTTCATTGTGTCTTAATACATTACGTACTATGCATCAATCAACACTATTGCAACCATGCAGTTGCACCGGTCACATAAATTATTATGTGGCAGTAATTTGTCAACATTGGCACAATTATAACATCTCAACATGGTAAAAATATGTCTAATTCGTCACAAAACAAATTATAACTCTATTTGCTCCTTGTTGGCAAAATAACTAGTCTAATTCGTCACAAAACAAATTATAACTCTATTTGCTCCTTGTTGGCAAAATAACTAGTTTATTGACATAGGTATTATGATAAAGTAACATTATATTCTACAGAGGTATGATCTTCTTCAAAATAGGTGCAAGAAATGTAAATTTCGTCACACAAGTTATTGTAACGGCCACGGTTAGATACATTTTCTTTCACATCAAACTGTTCTTATTATAGTTTCAATTGATATATACAGGAAATATAGAAACCCATGCCAATTTTTAACACATTCAAATTTTTACTGTTGAGTGTTGGGGCAGGAAAAGTGAATTTTGTCACATTTTGTTAAGAAAGCAAAATTAACCTCAACATTGCAATGTTAAACTTGAGTTCCGATTAGCTGAATAATAACCTACCAATCATTTCTGGAAGAATATTGTATTCTAATCGAGGTATGGTTATTATTGTTTCAAAATTAAACTTATTAATGATTTCGTATCATGTTTGTGACAATTTTGACATTAACTGCCCTTAACAAGTGAACGAACTGTTTCGTCCTTTAAATATTTATATAGAGTGTTCCCGCCTTTCAAACCAAAATCAGGTATGATTATTATATATGAATTTTACTTGATAGAGTGCTTTTGTTGAAGTTTTTTTTTTCAGGCTCTAATGATGTAGTTTCACGAAGATTTCAAGCATAGCGTTCGCGTTGTGTGATTCTCTTGGCCTTCGTGTCGAAAAGCATTACAAAATCAAAAATTTGATTTCGGCAATTCACGGAAAATTTCAAATTCCATAATATAATGTGACAGAATTTACCTCATTTCCCAATAACCAAGTGCATATATTAGCTAACTGTTCAAAACAACATATTTTAGGGCTATGATCGGTAGAAAAACCATCAAATAATGAGTTGAAGGGGTTTTGAGGACACCTCACAGTAGTAAAGAGGTACCATATTCTGAGTGTAACAAATTTGTCGAAATATTTCTTTATAACCAGTAACCACTCGATCCGTGCCCTTTAACCGATGTTGTATCATAATTGTTAGATTGAAAATTATATGTATGTATTTTAGACTAAGGAATGCTATTTACTAATCGGGCAGCTATAGTTAACAAAGTCACAAAAATGTGACATTTTAACTATTATAGTGCCTAACAATGATAGATTTTCTTTCTGAGCAGTGCATATGGGAGTATGGGTCACGTGGCTAATGTTCAGAACTTCTGAAAATGCTAAATTAATAAATGCTAAAATTGAGCCACTATCGTCGAAAACGCTATTTAAAAAATTTGAACAATATCCTCTAACTTCAATAAACGTGTCCATATTATATACTAACAGCGTTCATATACTAATCGCGTTGTTGACAAAAACTTGTTTCACAAAAATTCTTATTCCTTGGCCAATTTTTTATTTTTTCATGCTGATTTGAAAGCATTTGACCCAGTCAAAAAAGTTTCAGTTCTATATCTTTTACGGTTTTTGCGGAACGTCGTCTTAGTGTTGATGCCGTGGTGTCAGTAAAATGGTACGGATATATATTATATATACATATCCGTATACCTATATATATCGTCTCGCTTTATATCCTAAGATATAGTAAGATGTAGTAAGAAACGATAAAAACTTTTTTTGTCACTTTAAATTTGTGCACGCTTTAGTCGCTGTCTTGGAAACAGTAAAGTAAAATATATTAAATACTCAATTTACAAAATCATACCTTGACTGGAGACTCCCCGAACTAGAAAGAACAGTAGTACGATCATAAGTTTAACGCGCATTTCCGTTCCACCTGATTTCTTGAGTCGTGATCTTTAGAATTAAGCTAATTCAAAATATATAATAAGTTAACGCATAAATTTCATCATCAATTCCAAAATCAATAATGTATGTATTGCAACAACAACAAAACATGCGTCTCCATGAAAACTAAAAAATCCATAAAAACTAAAAACACTGAAGCAAAGACAGTCAGGCAAACAAATAAAAGCCCAAGTCATTTTGAAAATCGTTCATTTAAAATTTTGGTCATTTACACGATTATGAACGTAGAATAATTTATGAGGTGTCAAATGGTATTAGGGTTTGCTTACGATCGTTAAAATGGATGAATTATTACGGTAGCAGTGACCCAGCAAACAGAAATTGCAGGCCAAATCGTTATCACTATCATCAGGCGAATTTAGCAGTTTGCAAATTTATTGAAAGGAAAATAAGTACTAGTGGTCGTTGTGAACAGAGTGAACACACCTCATTTAAATTCGTCACCCCAAAGTAAATACCCGCACTGGATTACTACCCCTGATCTAAACCTGGGTAACTGTAACGTCAGCGATTCTGACTGCCAATTTTGTCACATGAACATCTAGGCAGTGTTTGATTGGTCTAAACACGTTACCAAACACCAAAATCAGCTGCTGAGTAGGCTGAGATATTTCAGGAAGAATCTCTTGATTTTTGGCTCGTCTAAATCTTGGTGATCATTGTTCATATAATCGCTATATTTCTCTCCAAATTTTCACGTGAGTAGACCCAATTCTCCCAGCTAAGATTTAATTCCATTCCCAATCCTGAGTTGTTTCCAGAATGATATCTTATTCAACTTCCGCCCTATTTTTAGCCTTAATTTTCTTTATTTCAGCTGCTGTAACTATGAAGAGAATCCTACGAGTGGAACTCCCATAGAAACTGGTCCTATTTGCTCCTTCAATTATCTTGAGTGGAGAGACGATATTCAGGCTAAGTTTGGTCGATGCTTCGGGTAAGTTTTATGTTACCAGATTCACTAAATATTCTAATTGTAAACTTATAATGTTATCGGAAAAAATATTTTACCAGCGCCAATGTAAAATGTATACATTATATGATTTAGTAATATACCCTACTTACAAGTTAGCATTTTGCTAGGGCGATCATGGGAATGTAAATATAAATAAAGTTTCCTTGCCTGCAATGCAGTTGTGACATAAAATTGCGTGTACGTGATCACAGATAATAAATTTCTGGCGGCTCATGAATCATACTCCTCCATAATTTAAACAACAATAATTTTCAAAATCGTTCAATCAGGGCGGACCATTTGTTAAGGAGTGTAAAAGAGAAGGTGAATTGCTGTGAGGGTGATGTCGAGACCGTGGATTGCACTGTTGTTGACCAGTATGACGGAGACACTTTGACATGTCCTTGGGGATCTGTTGTAAATGGACTTGGTGTCAATTCAGGTGAGTTAGGATTAGTCCAACAGATATGTTTTGATCCAAATGGGCATTATATTCTAGTGAATTGTTTGAAACTGCCTTGTTTTATTGAAATGTTGCCTCTGGAGTCTGGGGAGCGGGTTAATCTAATTTGAACTTGCAGTTATCCATGAATTAAGCAGTCTATAAAATATTTCACCGACTTACAAACCACAGTTAAGTTATCAGAACGTTCAAAATCATATTAACCTCAACTCTATTTCGCCTAAAATACGACATTTTACCTAAAAAGCTAAAATTTGTATTTTCAGAGGAAGTAACGTATCTGGAGTGTTGCCTGACGAACTGTAGATACGGTAAATGCGTGGAGAGAGTGCGAGAGTGTGTTGATGGTGAGATTGTGCAAGATATCACCATGAACGGTGGAGAGCTCGTCATGAGGTGCTGTGCTATTCTTGAGATGCTCTCTGACCACGGTTTGTTTGATCATTTGTTAGTTTGGATAATATCTCGGTAGTGATTCACATCGTTTCATTAGCTAACATCGTCAAGCGTCAGTATTATTTAGACGCATGAATTTAACCATAATTCAGAATTCATGGTTCAAACTTAACGGCCAACTATTACTATGATATTTTATCAATTGCATGACGTTTAAAACACTTTTATATCAGAACTTTTATAAACAACATTTCCTACAGAGTTCCAGGAAAGAAGGAAAATACCAACACGCAGAACAAAACGGTCCACAGCCTCATCACGTGACCTATACAGCCTGCCCTCTCCTCCTACCATAGACCCGACATACCACCTCCGGAGGAGACGTGAAGCACCGACCCCAGACCCTGCTGATTGTCATTTGAGCCACTTCTCGGAGAAGTCGGAGAATGCTAACTATGCGGGCTGTGAGAGGAAGAACTCCGTTATGAGAAAGGCGGGCTTCAGTAACATTGAGTGTTGCAGTGCTAACTGTGAAACTAGCAGGTGAGTGTTGCAGTGCTAACTGTGAAACTAGCAGGTGAGTGTTGCAGTTCTAACTGTGAAACTAGCAGGTGGGTGTTGCAGTTCTAACTGTGAAACTAGCAGGTGAGTGTTGCAGTTCTAACTGTGAAACTAGCAGGTGAGTGTAGCAGTTCTAACTGTGAAACTAGCAGGTGAGTGTTGCAGTTCTAACTGTGAAACTAGCAGGTGAGTGTTGCAGTTCTAACTGTGAAACTAGCAGGTGAGTGTCGCAGTGCTAACTGGTGAAACTAGCAGGTGAGTGTTGTAGTTTTAACTGTGAAACTAGCAGGTGGGTGTTGCAGTTCTAACTGTGAAACTAGCAGGTGAGTGTTGTAGTTCTAACTGTGAAACTAGCAGGTGAGTGTTGTAGTTCTAACTGTGAAACAAGCAGGTGAGTGTTGCAGTTCTAACTGTGAAACTAGCAGGTGAGGGGTTATTTTTCTCTTCTTGGTTTGATCACTTTGATGGAATTTTTGATGTGCAAGTGCCTTGTGGATTTTTATTTGGTGAAGCACTGTTGAGATATTTCTGCGTAAAATAGTATCACAGTGGATACATTTTTGTGAGAAGTTTTACTATTAGTATGATGTCAGGTGTAACATTGTTGAAATGGACAGTAGGAGGACATTTAGCTGCCCCCCGGGAACTATCATAAACGCTATCGGCAAATCAACTGTAACAGGTACTAGAATGACTCTTACTATAATAATAAGCTAATTCATATTATTGAAATAATGTACTGATGATTATTATCCGCTGATTTCTAAATACAGTTTGAAACGCGAGAAACAAGATTGACTACTATACTTGCAGCAGCGACTAAAAAATACGACTATTACTGTCACATGTAAAACACCCGTCTTGTTGTCAGCTTCGGGTGAATAAACCCCAAACATTTCGGGGGGGGGGGGGGGGGGGGGGGGGATCATACACTTAGTACCGGACATGACGTTGGTGGGTGGGTCATTTTTTCTTCTAAAAACACAGTTAGTACATGGTACTAACTGGTGGGTCTACTGCCCATTTTCCAGAAAAACAGTTAGTACATGGTACTAAAGGGGGTGCAGGTGTCTAACCCCAAAATAACCCATTTTACCTCAAATTTCAATTTTGGGAATGGGTTTTGAGGTTTTTTAAAGTTTTTTTTTTATTTTTTAAATTTTTTAAAGTCTTCCTTTAAAGTTTAAATGAGTTTAAAAAAAAAAAAAGCAATTTCTGGGTGGGTATCTTATTCTATATACCAAAAAACAGTTAGTACCACGATTTTTCGACAGTTAGTACCGCAAAAGGCGGCAAAAGGGGGTGGGTGGGTCTAGTGAAAAATATCCAAAACTACACTTAGTCGACGTGATGTCCGACACTTGGTACCTGATCCCCCCCCCCCCCCCCCCCCCCCCCGAACATTTTACAAGTATAAGCTAACAATATGTTAACTTCACCCAGATAAGATAAACCTATTGTCGTGCTGTGATCTGGATTGTAGAATTGGAGAATGTACGACCCGTAGTGCGTACTGTAAGCCGGGGGAAGTTATCAGTAGTGTTAGGAAGGATGTGAACTGTGATAGACTCCCCTGTCCTTTCAGGTTAGTTCATACTCCAACACCCACCATGGCCATATGTTGTATGAAATTGATAAAGCAAATGTTTTGATTATTTTATAGAAGTATTTTATAAAGTACAATTAAGCCCACATATTATTGGAGCACTGTTCAATAACGAGCAGTCTCATTCGCCAACTTGTTATGAGTTCTAAAATAGGGGGGGGTCCACGTTAAAAAAGTTAAATTCTAAGATCGAGATTTTGGAATTTAACATTAATTACTTTAACTTTTTTAACTTTTTTAACATAAATTAAAAATCAGATTTTGGCTGACTAATCGGTTCAAATTTTAACATAATTACCCAAATTAAACTCAATTATGAGTGTTGACCTTTAGTACTAGTAGTACCTCGCTCTTGCAATTGTTTTCTGTAGTTGTAACTGATTTGATAACTCTACAAAAAAAAAACACCTTGTATCTATATATACACATAATTGTATAATTTACTAATATACTTCGACTTACTTCGACTTAGGGCGGCTTCAGCGTCCGAACAGAAATAGTCTTCTTCCAAATCTGTCTATCCAGCATGAGTTTGTTAATCTCTTTGCTGTCGTCAAGCCCCGTGTCCTTCCGAAGGATGTCAATGTATGTGAGATGTGGTCTTCCCCTTCGACGATGTCCTTGAAGGGGTTCCCAGAAGAGAAGTTGATGACTCAATAGTTCTTCATGTCTGGCTAAATGACCTGCGAGTCTCATCCTCCGTGCAGCTATCTTATCAGATGCTCTGATGAGGTGTCCATACACCTTGGCGTTAGTCAACTGAGTTGGCCGCAACACTATCTGTTATAAGAGCAAGGTCGTCAGCAAAGTCCGCATCAGTGACCTTGACTGCCAGATAGCGACGGCTTCTTCTAGGGTGTAGAGTAAACCCAAAGTCCCTACCCTCTAGGGACACCCTCATAATGTAGCCAATTACGATTATGAATAGGTAGGGCGCCAAAGTGTCTCCCTGCATCACTCCTGCTAGAATGAAGAATGCTTCACTCAGACCATCCTCGGTAATCACACGAGCAAATGTATCTGCATACATTCTTTGTATCAAGCCTACAATCTCCTTGGGAATTCCATATGCCAGGAGGATCTTCATGAGGAGTCCACGGTGTCCGCTGTCGAATGCCTTCTTGAAATCAATGAAGAGCATTACCGCGGTCAGATCTTTATCCCGGGCTCCCTCAAATACCCTTCTTAGGCCAAGAATATGACTAGTTGTTGACCTACTCTCTCTGAATCCGTTCTGATTGATCCTTAAGATGTCTTCCATGGCAGGTTTGATCCTGTTCAGTATCATCTTATTGAGAGTCTTACTCACTATAGATGTCAGTGCAATACCTCTATAGTTATCTACTTTGGTCAAATTCCCTTTCTTTGGAACATGCACGATGTTTAGGTGCTTCCATTGGTCAGGAACATCGCCATCAACTAGTGCTTTATTGCAGAAGTCAAGGATCAAATCATCAACATTCAACATCTACCCTCTTCAGTACTTAAGGGGCAACTCCATCCTCTCCAAATGCCTTACCTTCTTTAATCGATTTCGTAGCCTCCTCCAGTTCGGTCTTGGTGAACTTATCCACACTGATGTTTTGTGGTGGATGTACGACTGGTATGTCCACTTCTTCGTTTGGAACTACTGGAGGTTGTCCAAGTAGCTTGGTAACGTGGTCTTTCCAGGCTCTCAATCTATCCTCTCTACTACCTCCTTCTACAAGACCACATGGCTTCTTCTTTCTCCCACTGACCTCATTAACAAGATTCCAGCTCTCTTTGTTCTTGCATCTACCGGCTGCGTTTTCAGCTTTTCTTATTTTCTGTTTAAGCAGCTCTTCCTCCACAGTACGGTAGCATGCAGAGAGAGTGTCTTTCTCCTCGGCAACTGTCTGTCTGTTGTCTTCACAAGGATCCAGATGGTAGGTCTCCTTGGCAGCAAACAATTTGCTTCTGGCTTCCTCTACTCGTGGGTCGTTGGCAGGATCGTCATACCGCTTCTTAGGTTTATGCGGAAGATGCTTCCTATTTGCATACTTCACTGCTTCAATAAACTTTCCATACTTAGTGGTGACGTCACTAGTAGGACCTAGATCTAGTTGCTCCTCACTCAAGAGTGCACTATACCTATTTCTAACTTCAACTCCATACTTGATCTGTAACTCTTGATCAGTTTTGAGACGACTGAAGTCGTAACATGTGACCCGTGGTGGACTTATGCTCTTTCGTAGACTGAGCTTTACAGTTGAGAGTACTGCCCGATGGTCAGAGCCCAGGGAATTGAAAGAGTTGCATGGCTCGGTGTTCTTTATTGAGCTCATCCACTTCTTCCGTACCAGGACATAGTCAATCTGGCTCCTAGTTAGTACTCCATCTGAAGATCTGAGAGGTGAGTCCACTGCTTACCAGCACTCTTCTGAAAACGATGATTCGTCGCCTCTAACTCTCCCTCCAGCAGTGTATCCCTGAGCAGATGACCATTACGATTGGTCACTTGATGCCAGTACCATCCCGTATCTTCACCATTCAACTTGCTGAGGTGAGCATTAAGATCTCCTATTACAAGTATTAGATGATGAGAGGGGACCTCCCTTACTGCTGCTCTCAAGCAGTCGTGAAACTCTTCGGCTTCTTCGACAGTTGCGGATTCCGTTGGACTATACACAGAGATTATGGTTAATCTTGGGTTTCCGTCCAACGACACAAGCATGCAGCGCTTACTATAGGTCTTGATAAGACTAACTGCATTAAAGACTTGTTTAGTCAGCAGGAATCCCACTCCTCCTGTAGACGCTTGTGCTCTGTTTCTCCATGCTGAAGTTGTTATTAGGTGGACTCCCTTCTTGTGCCTCTCTATCTTGACTTCTTCATCATGCACAACTCGGTGTTCTTGTATTGCGAGGACAGATATCTGACTGCGCAAGAAAAGAATAACCATTTCAAGCCGTTTAGAAAACTCCCTCACAGTACGGATATTAAGAATCCCAATGATACTCTTCGTTGTACAACTAACTACTCCTCCACTATTTTTTTGTTTTTTGATGTTTTCTGTTGGCTTTCTAGGATTCATAAACACATCATCAGCTGCCCGTCCACTATGTGGGTTTAAGACAACCGAGTCATAACTGTACTGATCCTCGATAGGCCTGGTAGGGGCTTGAACCCTAGTGCTTTTGGTTGTAACCATATCTGTTTTTCAAAAGGCTAAGTGACCCAGTGAAGTCCCCTTCACTGTGACAAATGGTCACTAATCCCAATGCCACGCCACCGGAACATTGGGGAAAACCGCAGGAACATTTTACCAACTCGAACATGTAAACGTTAACCACATGAACATAACGTTTATCAGGCTGTATCACTAGCACTCAACTTTACTCTACTCGATCTTCACCTGCTCCATGCAGGACATTAAGCTTATGACCTAAAGCGTAAGGGAGTTAGAGCGTGAAACAGAAATTTCTGCTTTGACGAGGGCTAACTCTCCCTCTGACTACCGGTTACCCAATACCCTGGCACAGGGAGCTGTATCCTATCTAACAGAGCGTGGTCCAGTCTGACTGGGTCGTAGTAGAATAGGTTTGGAGGGTAACAGCCTACACCTCTTTAACTACTGTGCAATCCACAGTAAAGATTTATGAGTGTCCGAGCCCCTTGTGAGCCAAGAGTTTAGGAGTCAATGACGTTTTGTGATTGAGCTCCTCGGGACTCATTGTTTCCCGTCGCCCTTCCTGTATTTAGCCTGGACACAGCCCAGTTTCCAGTCTTCACCACGTGGAGGTAGCAGGGGAGGACTTGATGTGGAGTGGCTATCAACATGTTGACTGATGATTAACTGGAAGGGGGCACCACAGGGATACCCCTTTTCAAAGTTCTGACAACCTCACGGCAGCACAGGGTTTCTATCCAGCAGTGACACTTTGGGCCACCTAACCTTCACACAACCATTGGAAGACCAAATAATATAATCATCTTACTATATATAAAGCGAGACGATATATATGTATGTATATATCCGTGCCATTTTACTGACACCACGGCATCAACTTTAACGCAACTTTCCGCAAAAACCGTAAAAGATGTACAACTGAAACTTTTTTGACTGGGTCAAATGCTTTAATGGCCTTCAAATCAGCATGAAAAAATACAAAATTGGCCAAGGAATAATAATTTTAGTGCCCAAAATTTGGACTCCCAAGTGGTGTCAAAAACGCGAATTAAATAGGTAATAATTATTTTAGTCTCGAATTAAATAGGTAATAATTATTTTAGTCTCTCGAGTCTTGACACCACTTTAGGGTTAGACGGGTTCCTGCTAGTTCATATAATAGGAAAGAGCATGTCGGCCAACCACAAGTACACAGTAGTGGTCAATGGGTTGGAATTGCGGGACAGATTACAGGTAGTAGCGAATGCTATTGATGCCAAGTATAACGGGACGTCAGAAACTGGGAAGGAGTGGGCAGAGTATTTGGGGGATGAACATTACAGTCAGAATTCAGTCGGGACCCAAGGAAATGGCTCGCAGCCCGACCAATACTCATTAGGAGGGTGGCTGTCACGATATGGTCTGGAATGTTACACGGAACAATTGGAAGAGGCGGGATTTGGATCACCCAATAATTTCCAGTGCGTTCAGGAAAGTGACCTGGACAAGTTGGAAATATTTGACAAATGTCATCGGCTGACTATCCTGCATGCAGCCAAACGGATCCTTATTAGAGGAGTAGCTAATATCGTGAAGGGAGAATGTTAGAATCCACGAAAATAACATCCCCTGGCCCTCCTCGTCAGGAAACACAAATTGTATTGATACTTTTATAATGGACAATGGTACATAAATAAATTTATATATTTCTGAATAAGTTTCAATGTTCCATTTATTTAATATTATACAGCTAAATTAATATTATCCAGCTAATTTATTAAATTACTTTTGCAGATATTTTCATTTTATTCTCTCGATAATTGAAAGGTTTTATTTTACCCAGCTCGGTAGTTTTGAATTTCAATTGTTTTTAACATTTAATCAGTTTAATGATCAAATGTATCAATTATTTATCGGTTGTACCTATGTTATATTAGGACGCAATGAAACTACCGGACCACGATGTATGGGGACTTGCCACCCCATGGCAACATTAAAATATATCGACTCTGTTACATCGTTTCCTCAAATTATTTGTTATATAGTAGTGTTGAAAGTATTAAAACTGTATATATGACTGTTTTACTCTTGTCATGGGCATTCCTATATTCCTACATGTAATGACTAATGAACAAAAAAACCAACGCATGACCTAAAAGTAAACTAGTCTAGAATATTCACTCCATTGCAATTTCAACCCAAATTTGAATTTATGTTAAAAAAGTTAAACTTTCTAAGCCTGAATTTTGAAATTTAACATTAATTACTTTAACTTTTTTAACTTTTTTTAACGTGGACCCCCCCCTAAAATATACCCTTCTTGAACTCCTTACATCACTTCCAGAGTCGAGTGCTGTAAAACAATGGATAAATACTCGGTTGTCACTGGAAAGATCTTCACACCACCCAGACTCAGTGCCTCACCGGAGCTAGGAGTACCTGATGATAATGGTGGTCATGTTGAACATGACGGTGGGTTTTTTGTTAACTTTTATCTGTATTATCCGTAATATAAACACTTACAATGTTTTAAAATAATGATGCCTTATTTTTGAACTTTAGAAAGATGTTTCTTATGCCTTGGAAGTATAGATAATGATCGGAGTATGTCTATGTTGAGATGTACTTCATGCCTGAATGTAGATAATTTAAAAACAGGTTTGCATTGTTTGGGGAATGTTTTTTAACTCCCTCTCACTGAATCAACCCTAACACGAACAGTTCATTGAACAGTTGAACAGTGCGTTTATTTTCTAATCTGTCAGAGTCGGCTGCGTATAAGAAGTTCCTGATACCGACGGAAGACTGTCCGTACATCATGCGGGGAAGAGCGGTCACGTGCCCTGTGTAAGTGGAACAATTTTTCAGTTTACAATCCAACATTTTTAAAGCAAACTTGGGTTTTTTTTTCAGTGTAACGTACTCAAAACAGCTGGGATAATGTGATCATATTTGACACCATGCATTGATAAGACTTTAAAAAATAGTTATGTACTTCACCCCAAGTATATGCAGTAAGTATGAATTTAACATTTTATTATGTTTATTAAGTAATGCACATAAACTTGTACAGTAAGTACGAACTGGACGTAGTTCACACGATAGACGATGGAATGTTGGAGGGAAGGTGTTGCATCTCTTCTGATATCATCACTTGCATACCAACACTTTCCGGACCGTGTCAGGATGCTATCTGCAGTGTGGGCATGGCTGGAAGTGGACTCTTCAAACTGGGCTGTCTCTCTGTTGAAAATGATGAGGTGAAATTCAATTCTTGGCGATAAAGTTCTGTGTTTTGTCTTATTTTAAGGTAGTAAAGAAATTGTGAAGGGTTTAGAGTTTTGTTTCTTTCGTAAGGTTACGTGATCTTTATTATCTTTACTGGTCATGCCTGTTTTAAAAGATATCAATTTATCAGGTTGTAAAACCAAGAAAATGTGTGGAATTTGAAATGCGCGGAACTGATGTTGTGTCGTGTCCCACCAAGTTCTCAATGTCTGACATCGTATCGAGGTAAGCTTCAGAGGCTTTTAGAACCATAATTTAAATCGTTGTTATCCATTGAAAATCAAAATGACTTATACCCCTGAGATAATAACCAAATATATTTCCAATATTTCAGTTGTCCGGATGGGATTCACGAGAATTGCATCATACACGTAACCTGCTGTGTAGAAGAGCTGCCAGTTCATTTCGACATAAAGCGCCATGTTCCTGCCTCTGTCTACGAAGTAGAATTGTTCGATTCGGTCGTCATCGACTGTGGAATGTGCGTATTTTGGAATAATAAACCTTTATTTGAATAGTTTAATGAAACAACTTAAATTATAACACATATAAATCAAATTTTGTGCTTCGCGGTTCGCCTGGTTTGAATGTTATATCTGGCTCAAAGACCTAACGTTGACGTTTCAGCGCGGCTTTATTTTCTTTGAAATTGCATGTATTTTTGTAACGCGCCTAAACAAAATTGCTGTAAAAACTAAATCTGTCCCATCCAGTATAACAGAAAGTATGCTAAGTTATGTTTGACGGTGGGAAAATGATTTTTTGGTCATATATGACTTTCATGACTCAGTCATATAATAGATTATGACTTTATGATATACATTATACAAAGTATCAAGAAGTGCCAATACATTTTACATTTTGAATATTTCAAAATCAGCTGTACCACAAACAATCGACTAATGTTAAGACTCCTGTTTTCAATCTACAGACTTGGTGGTTGGTATTGGACATAAACAATAAAGTCAAGGGAATAAAATTTGACAAAGATTCATTTACTAACACTTAACAGGCTCTTGGCAGCTTATTCTAACATTATACCTAAAGTAAGTTATCCAGTACTCATATTTGCTTTTCCTACAAACTCAGGTATGGCCAAGCACTGATCTCCAAAATAGCTATGGGACGGATCCCCGAAGGAGTCTGTGGTCCCTCTCCTTCTAGCAAGTGCTATCTTCAGCAGTCGTTCGTAACCTCGGATTCCGCTACATGCGACGTTGGATACGCTCTCAAGTCAATAAGTTTTACACCCGATGGTTTAGTTGCTAGCCCTTTCTCCTGCTGCAGCATCGGCGGTAAGAACCTTCCGTTAGCTATCTGTGCTGTATAGTGTATATCCTCAGGATACCTATTTTGAACGTACACAGTACCAATTCATAAGATCAGCCATGCATTTAACATTCATTTGTATTTTTATAAAAAGTTATACTTGAAATCAGAACATGAAAGGTCCTTCTTAAAGTTCATCACAACCACCCATCACCAATTTACACCAGGTAACGATCCTAGTGAAACAACAGCATCAAACTCGATGAACAACATAGACTGCGAGCACGGCTTCATCAACTCCATTAAAGTAGATACAACTAAATCCGACTCAAATCTCACTGCAATGTGTATCTACTCGCAGAGGAGTGTTGAATCGAGTGTCTGGAGTGTATCAGGAGTGTCGGAAGCAGGAGTGCTGGGAGCAACTCGTGAGTTTATATTACAGTTAACTATCAGTAATCCCCTCAATAGATTTGTCACAGACCTTAGTCCATCAATGTACTGCTATAAATCATCTCAATCTTTTGCAATATTTTACTTATTTGTATTTTTTCGTAATTCATGTAAATTTCAGCGGTTACGGATGAGCCTAGTTGCAATGGGCTGTCAAAACAAAAACAGCCGTGTATTTTGGAAGACTCCATAATTCCAGGAGAAAGTTTCACAACAATTGAGTCTTCTACGTTTTGGGCTTGCATGACCGCTTGCTGGAAATCTGATCGTTGTTGTGCCGGATCATACGTATCCTCGAGCGGAGTTTGCCAGCTAAAGGCAGATAGCCACTCTCAGGCAGAGCAGACCGTATATTCTAAGGCTAACAAAGTTAAATCTTTTGACTTTACTTGTTCAACCAAAATCAGCCAGTCAATCAGCTTGGGAGTGAAATTAAAAAACAAAGATTCAAGAAAAAGTGATGAAATAGAGGAGGAAAGGAAAATGAATACAATTGGGACAAAGTTTAACAGTGCCCTTCGGAATGAAGGTGGGCCCACTATAGCCCTCTCCGTAGGTGTCACCAAACCTGTAAAGCCTACTGAACCACTTTGTGTTTACAAAGGAGCTATTTATCCAGACGGGACAATTGACTCTAAAAGCAAGGACACTTCGGACGATTGTGCTACTGCTTGTGCAGAATCAAAAGATTGCGTTGTTGCCACTTACATCGGTAGCGCTAAAAAATGTATCTTAAAGAGTGAAAAGCACAAGGCTCTCATTAGAACTGAGTGGGCTGTTGCAAATCAAGTAAAAACGTTTGACTTTGAAAATCCGTGTGTTGGTGTCAGACCAAAGAGTCCAATTAGGGAGGCAAGAGAGAAGGAACTCGGAATAAATGCTAGAAATGGAAAACCTCCCTGTAGGTACCATAACGCTGTATTAGTGGGAGGAACTTTCTTCAGCGCCGACTCTACGTCAATCGATAAGTGTGGAGAGATTTGCCTAAAGAAGCCGGCGTGTTCAGCTGTTACTTTTCTGTTTGAAAAGGAGAAATGCCACGTGAAAAATAAACTGCACAAAGGTCCCACATACACTCAATTTGCTGAGGAAAATGGTGCAGTATCACTCGATTATAACTGTGACTTAAAAGCTTATCACGACTTAATGTTAAAGTTCCCTGCTGAAAGAAAAATTCATGGCCTAAAAGAAGCCTGCCGATACAAAAACAGACAAATATCGGGTAAGGTGGTTGAGGAGGTAGATCTGGTCTCTGAGCTGGAGTGTGCCACAGCATGTCTAAGTAGCCAAGATTGCTTTGGCCTAACTTACCTACCCAAATCTATGACCTGTTACCTTAAAGGTGAAGGGCACAACGGAGCCAAGTCACAGGAAACTCTTGGAGTTATTTCGTACGATTTCACCCTGGATTGCTTGCCTGAAGGGCAAGAGAAGGGAGCGACCCCGCCTGTTGTTAAGGTTTGCGAGTATCTAGACATGATGTACCGCGGAAGTTCTGTTATAAAAACTGTTATCGATGTGGTGTCATCTGAGAATTGTGTGGAACTTTGTTCAGAAATTCCAAAATGTAAGGCCGTGACGTATCTTTCTGGAACAACGTCCAGCAAATGTTTCATGAGAGGACAAGATCGTGGACCGCTATATCCATCGAAAAGCACAGAAACCCGCAAAGTTGTATCATATGACCTCGATTGTCGACCAGATGTGCCAGACAACCTCGTACTGAAGAAACGATGCCTCCTGAAAGATCAAGTGTTTACTGGAGGGTTCTTGGAAAAACAAAATGACGTTCCTTCATCAACGATATGCTTCGAGAAATGCTCAAGCCTTGACAAATGTGTTGCTGCTACATACGCGCCCAGGACAAAGAGTTGCTCGCTCAGAGATTCCTCAAGGGAGGAACCGAAAGTTACTGAGTTTGCCACCATAAACAAACTGGTTTCTTACTGTTTCCTGTGTCATGCCCAAACGTCTGGATTGAATATGGCGAAAGATCTGGACAAAGGAGGAATAGCACCACTTCCAAAGAAATCCTGTTTACTAAAAGGTCAAGTTTTCCGTGGTGGATTATTGGAGAAAAAAACTGATGTCCTGTCATCGGACAAATGTTTTGAAATGTGTTCAACCGACAAAGATTGTGTTGCAGCTACATATTCTCCAAACAACAAATTTTGTGTCCTGAGAGATTCCTCTAGAGAAGATTCTACAGAGACTGAATTAGCGGTCAAGAACGGATTAGTATCTTATGACTTTTTGTGCGATGAAAAGACACCCAAGAAAGAGAAAGCTGGAGTTTCTGATGAGAAGATTGCAGAAATATCAGATATGCCGACTCCTAAGCAGTCCTGTTTACTAAAAGGTCAAGTTTTCCGTGGTGGATTATTGGAGAAAAAAACTGATGTCCTGTCATCGGACAAATGTTTTGAGATGTGTTCTACCGACAAAGATTGTGTTGCAGCTACATATTCTCCAAACAACAAATTTTGTGTCCTGAGAGATTCCTCTAGAGAAGATTCTACAGAGACTGAATTTGCGGTCGAGAACGGATTAGTATCTTATGACTTTTTGTGCGATGAAAAGACACCCAAGAAAGAGAAAGCTGGAGTTTCTGATGAGAAGATTGCAGAAATATCAGATATGCCAACTTCTAAGCAGTCCTGTTTACTAAAAGGTCAAGTTTTCCGTGGTGGACTATTGGAGAAAAAAACTGATGTCCTGTCATCGGACAAATGTTTTGAAATGTGTTCTACCGACAAAGATTGTGTTGCAGCTACATATTCTCCAAACAACAAATTTTGTGTACTGAGAGATTCCTCTAGAGAAGATTCTACAGAGACTGAATTTGCGGTCGAGAACGAATTAGTATCTTATGACTTTTTGTGCGATGAAAAGACACCCAAGAAAGAGAAAGCTGGAGTTTCTGATGAGAAGATTGCAGAAATATCAGATATGCCAACTTCTAAGCAGTCCTGTTTACTAAAAGGTCAAGTTTTCCGTGGTGGACTATTGGAGAAAAAAACTGATGTCCTGTCATCGGACAAATGTTTTGAAATATGTTCAACCGACAAAGATTGTGTTGCAGCTACATATTCTCCAAACAACAAATTTTGTGTACTGAGAGATTCCTCTAGAGAAGATTCTACAGAGACTGAATTTGCGGTCGAGAACGAATTAGTATCTTATGACTTTTTGTGCGATGAAAAGACACCCAAGAAAGAGAAAGCTGGAGTTTCTGATGAGAAGATTGCAGAAATATCAGATATGCCAACTCCTAAGCAGTCCTGTTTGCTGAAAGGTCAAGTTTTCCGTGGTGGATTATTGGAGAAAAAAACTGATGTCCTGTCATCGGACAAATGTTTTGAAATGTGTTCTACCGACAAAGATTGTGTTGCAGCTACATATTCTCCAAACAACAAATTTTGTGTCCTGAGAGATTCCTCTAGAGAAGATTCTACAGAGACTGAATTTGCGGTCGAGAACGGATTAGTATCTTATGACTTTTTGTGCGATGAAAAGACACCCAAGAAAGAGAAAGCTGGAGTTTCTGATAAGAAGATTGCAGAAATATCAGATATGCCAACTCCTAAGCAGTCCTGTTTACTAAAAGGTCAAGTTTTCCGTGGTGGACTATTGGAGAGAAAAACTGATGTCCTGTCATCGGACAAATGTTTTGAAATGTGTTCAACCGACAAAGATTGTGTTGCAGCTACATATTCTCCAAACAACAAATTTTGTGTCCTGAGAGATTCCTCTAGAGAAGATTCTACAGAGACTGAATTTGCGGTCGAGAACGAATTAGTATCTTATGACTTTTTGTGCGATGAAAAGACACCCAAGAAAGAGAAAGCTGGCGTTTCTGATGAGAAGATTGCAGAAATATCAGATATGCCAACTCCTAAGCAGTCCTGTTTACTAAAAGGTCAAGTTTTCCGTGGTGGACTATTGGAGAAAAAAACTGATGTCCTGTCATCGGACAAATGTTTTGAAATGTGTTCAACCGACAAAGATTGTGTTGCAGCTACATATTCTCCAAACAACAAATTTTGTGTCCTGAGAGATTCCTCTAGAGAAGATTCTACAGAGACTGAATTTGCGGTCGAGAACGAATTAGTATCTTATGACTTTTTGTGCGATGAAAAGACACCCAAGAAAGAGAAAGCTGGAGTTTCTGATGAGAAGATTGCAGAAATATCAGATATGCCAACTCCTAAGCAGTCCTGTTTACTGAAAGGTCAAGTTTTCCGTGGTGGATTATTGGAGAGAAAAACTGATATCCTGTCATCAGACAAATGTTTTGAAATGTGTTCTACCGACAAAGATTGTGTTGCAGCTACATATTCTCCAAACAACAAATTTTGTGTACTGAGAGATTCCTCTAGAGAAGATTCTACAGAGACTGAATTTGCAGTCGAGAACGAATTAGTATCTTATGACTTTTTGTGCGATGAAAAGACACCCAAGAAAGAGAAAGCTGGAGTTTCTGATGAGAAGATTGCAGAAATATCAAATATGCCAACTCCTAAGCAGTCCTGTTTGCTAAAAGGTCAAGTTTTCCGTGGTGGATTATTGGACAAAAAAACTGATGTCATGTCATCAGACAAATGTTTTGAAATGTGTTCAACCGACAAAGATTGTGTTGCAGCTACATATTCTCCAAACAACAAATTTTGTGTACTGAGAGATTCCTCTAGAGAAGATTCTACAGAGACTGAATTTGCGGTCGAGAACGGATTAGTATCTTATGACTTTTTGTGCGATGAAAAGACACCCAAGAAAGAGAAAGCTGGAGTTTCTGATAAGAAGATTGCAGAAATATCAGATATGCCAACTCCTAAGCAGTCCTGTTTACTAAAAGGTCAAGTTTTCCGTGGTGGACTATTGGAGAAAAAAACTGATGTCCTGTCATCGGACAAATGTTTTGAAATGTGTTCAACCGACAAAGATTGTGTTGCAGCTACATATTCTCCAAACAACAAATTTTGTGTCCTGAGAGATTCCTCTAGAGAAGATTCTACAGAGACTGAATTTGCGGTCGAGAACGGATTAGTATCTTATGACTTTTTGTGCGATAAAAAGACACCCAAGAAAGAGAAAGCTGGAGTTTCTGATAAGAAGATTGCAGAAATATCAGATATGCCAACTCCTAAGCAGTCCTGTTTACTAAAAGGTCAAGTTTTCCGTGGTGGACTATTGGAGAAAAAAACTGATGTCCTGTCATCAGACAAATGTTTTGAAATGTGTTCTACCGACAAAGATTGTGTTGCAGCTACATATTCTCCAAACAACAAATTTTGTGTCCTGAGAGATTCCTCTAGAGAAGATTCTACAGAGACTGAATTTGCGGTCGAGAACGGATTAGTATCTTATGACTTTTTGTGCGATGAAAAGACACCCAAGAAAGAGAAAGCTGGAGTTTCTGATAAGAAGATTGCAGAAATATCAGATATGTCAACTCCTAAGCAGTCCTGTTTACTAAAAGGTCAAGTTTTCCGTGGTGGATTATTGGAGAAAAAAACTGATGTCCTGTCATCGGACAAATGTTTTGAAATGTGTTCTACCGACAAAGATTGTGTTGCAGCTACATATTCTCCAAACAACAAATTTTGTGTCCTGAGAGATTCCTCTAGAGAAGATTCTACAGAGACTGAATTTGCGGTCGAGAACGGATTAGTATCTTATGACTTTTTGTGCGATGAAAAGACACCCAAGAAAGAGAAAGCTGGAGTTTCTGATAAGAAGATTGCAGAAATATCAGATATGCCAACTCCTAAGCAGTCCTGTTTACTAAAAGGTCAAGTTTTCCGTGGTGGACTATTGGAGAAAAAAACTGATGTCCTGTCATCGGACAAATGTTTTGAAATGTGTTCAACCGACAAAGATTGTGTTGCAGCTACATATTCTCCAAACAACAAATTTTGTGTCCTGAGAGATTCCTCTAGAGAAGATTCTACAGAGACTGAATTTGCAGTCGAGAACGAATTAGTATCTTATGACTTTTTGTGCGATGAAAAGACACCCAAGAAAGAGAAAGCTGGAGTTTCTGATAAGAAGATTGCAGAAATATCAGATATGTCAACTCCTAAGCAGTCCTGTTTACTAAAAGGTCAAGTTTTCCGTGGTGGATTATTGGACAAAAAAACGGATGTCCTGTCATCGGACAAATGTTTTGAAATGTGTTCAACCGACAAAGATTGTGTTGCAGCTTCATATTCTCCAAACAACAAATTTTGTGTCCTGAGAGATTCCTCTAGAGAAGATTCTACAGAGACTGAATTTGCGGTCGAGAACGGATTAGTATCTTATGACTTTTTGTGCGATGAAAAGACACCCAAGAAAGAGAAAGCTGGAGTTTCTGATGAGAAGATTGCAGAAATATCAGATATGCCAACTCCTAAGCAGTCCTGTTTACTAAAAGGTCAAGTTTTCCGTGGTGGACTATTGGAGAGAAAAACTGATGTCATGTCATCGGACAAATGTTTTGAAATGTGTTCAACCGACAAAGATTGTGTTGCAGCTACATATTCTCCAAACAACAAATTTTGTGTCCTGAGAGATTCCTCTAGAGAAGATTCTACAGAGACTGAATTTGCGGTCGAGAACGGATTAGTATCTTATGACTTTAAGTGTGACGAAAAGACGCCCAAAAAAGAGAAAACTGGAGTTCCTGATAAGAAGATTACCGAAATATCAGATATGCCAACTCCTAAGCAGTCCTGTTTACTAAAAGGTCAAGTTTTCACAGGAGGAATATTGGAAAAAAGAAGTGGTGTCATCTCATTGGACAAATGTTTTGAAATGTGTTCATCGGACGAGAAATGTGTCGCAGCCACTTATGCTCCAAACATAAAAAACTGTTTCCTGAGAGATTCCTCTAGGGAAAGTCCTAAAGTTACTGTATTTGCAACTACGAACGGAATTGTTTCATATGACTTTTTGTGTGATGGAAAGATTTCGAAGGAATTGGAAGACTCCCAAAACGATATAAAAAACCAAGAAAGATCAAAACGACCGATTAACAAACAAATTGATGAAGAAAACAAGCCTTGCATCCATATAGATCAAAGCTTTGAAAATGGACTGATTGAAGTTATTGACCTGCTAAAAAGTGCATCAATCTGTTCTGAAGAATGCTTATCTGTGAGAAAATGTTTAGTCGCATCATATGACTCAAAAGCAAAGAAATGTTACTTGCGAGATGGAAGTAGAATTGGACCTAAACATTCACCAGGTGTGATATCTTACGACCACTCTTGTGTCAGAGGTTCTGATAAAAACCCCGACGACAATACAGCGAAACATATTGTTGAAAACGACGAACCTTGTGTTTTGATAGGACAGGTCTTCTCCGGTGGATATCTGGAAACAGTCAACTCCGTTAAAAATCCTTTGTCTTGTTCAGAGGAATGTTCGATGGATGAAGACTGTGCTGCTGCAACTTATAACATCAAAATGAAGACATGTCGATTGATGGATGAAAGCAGAGAAGGGCCAAAAAAGATGCCCGGAGTGGTGTCTTTCGACTTTTTGTGTAAGCAACAGAAAGATACCTCAAAATCTGAAAATTCGGGAAAAAATAAGATAATCCCTGATAACGAAAAGAGTGACAAAAGCCCTGCGAACAAGAGTGGAGACGGTCCTACAGATAAGATTGATGAAAACTCTACTGTTGACGATCAGCCGTGTATGGTACTAGGGCAGCAATTTTCGGGTGGATTCTTAGAGACCGTCAATTCCGTGGAGAATCCTTTGTCTTGTTCAGAGGAATGTTCAATGGATGAAAACTGTGCTGCTGCAACTTATAACATTAAGATGAAGACATGTCAGTTGATGGATAAAAACAGAGATGGACCCAAAAAGATGCCTGGAGTTTTGTCTTTCGACTTTTTGTGTAAAGAAAGATCAAGATCATCAAAATCTCAAAAAGACCCTGCAGACAAAAAAGGAGAAATTCCTAATGATAAAACTCGCAAAAAATCCGTTGACAATGACCAGCCTTGCGTTTTACAGGCACACCTCTTCTCTGGTGGCTATCTAGAAACGGTTAACTCTGTTATGGAACCGTTGTCTTGTTCTGAAGAATGTTTGATGGATGAGGACTGTACTACAGCATCCTATAACATAAAGATGAAGACATGTCGCTTGATGGATCGAAACAGAGATGGGCCTAAAAAGATGTCAGGTGTTGTTTCTTTTGACTTTTTGTGTTCGGAAAAATCTAGTTCCTCAGATTCTGACAGCATAGATTCAAACAGTAATTCTACCGGCAAGTATGAAGAATCAGAGAAATCGCAGGACTCAGAGAATATTAAAAATAACGGAAGCATCGATGGTGGAGACCGTGGGAAAAAGAAGCAAGAAATACAAGTGATAACTAATGATCAGCCATGTGTTCTACAAGGAAAGTCATTTTCAGGCGGATTTTTAGAGATTATCGACTCTGTCGAGAATCCTTTATCTTGTTCTGAAGAATGTTTGATGGACGAAGACTGTGCCACTGCATCATTCAACATTAAGATGAAGACATGTCAGTTGATGGATAACAGCAGAGATGGACCCAAAAAGATGCCTGGAGTCGTGTCTTTCGATTTGCTTTGTAAGGAAAACTCGAAGGTACCTAATGAAAAACCTGAAGAAACGGTAACAGACCGGGAAGTAATGACAAACCAGTCCTGTTTACTAAAAGGTCAAGTTTTCACAGGAGGACTATTGGAGAAAAACGCTGGTGTCCTGTCATTGGACAAATGTTTTGAAATGTGTTCATCCGACCAGAAATGTGTTGCAGCCACATATGTTCCAAAATTTAAGAGTTGCTTTCTGAGAGATTCCTCGAGAGAAGGTCCTATAGAGACTGTATTTGCCGCAAAGAACGGAGTAATATCGTACGACTTTCTTTGTAATGAGAAAACATTCAAGAAAAAGACAACTGTAGATTCTGACAAAAATAGTGTACAAATATCAGATACGCCAACTCTTAAGCAGTCCTGTTCACTAAAAGGTCACGTTTTCCGTGGTGGATTATTGGAGAGAAAAACTGATGTCCTGTCATCGGACAAATGCTTTGAGATGTGTTCAACCGACAAAGATTGTGTTGCAGCCACATATTCTCCAAACAACAAATTTTGTGTACTGAGAGATTCCTCTAGAGAAGATTCTACAGAGACTGAATTTGCGGTCGAAAACGGATTAGTATCTTATGACTTTTTGTGCGAAGAAAAGACACCCAAGGGAGAGAAAACTGTGGATTCTGATGAAAAGATTGCTGAAATATCAGATATGCCAACTCCTAAGCAGTCATGTTTACTAAAAGGTCAAGTTTTCCGTGGTGGATTATTGGACAGAAAAACTGATGTCCTGTCATCGGACAAATGCTTTGAGATGTGTTCAACCGACAGAGATTGTGTTGCAGCTACATATTCTCCAAACAACAAATTTTGCGTACTCAGAGATTCCTCTAGAGAAGATTCTACAGAGACTGAATTTGCGGTCGAGAACGGATTAGTATCTTATGACTTTTTGTGCGAAGAAAAGACACCCAAGGGAGAGAAAACTGTGGATTCTGATGAAAAGATTGCTGAAATATCAGATATACCAACTCCTAAGCAGTCATGTTTACTAAAAGGTCAAGTTTTCCGTGGTGGATTATTGGACAGAAAAACTGATGTCCTGTCATCGGACAAATGCTTTGAGATGTGTTCAACCGACAAAGATTGTGTTGCAGCTACATATTCTCCAAACAACAAATTTTGTGTACTGAGAGATTCCTCTAGAGAAGATTCTACAGAGACTGAATTTGCGGTCGAGAACGGATTAGTATCTTATGACTTTTTGTGCGAAGAAAAGACACCCAAGGGAGAGAAAACTGTGGATTCTGATGAAAAGATTGCTGAAATATCAGATATACCAACTCCTAAGCAGTCATGTTTACTAAAAGGTCAAGTTTTCCGTGGTGGATTATTGGACAGAAAAACTGATGTCCTGTCATCGGACAAATGCTTTGAGATGTGTTCTACCGACAAAGATTGTGTTGCAGCTACATATTCTCCAAACAACAAATTTTGTGTACTGAGAGATTCCTCTAGAGAAGATTCTACAGAGACTGAATTTGCGGTCGAGAACGGATTAGTATCTTATGACTTTTTGTGCGAAGAAAAGACACCCAAGGGAGAGAAAACTGTGGATTCTGATGAAAAGATTGCTGAAACATCAGATATACCAACTCCTAAGCAGTCATGTTTACTAAAAGGTCAAGTTTTCCGTGGTGGATTATTGGACAGAAAAACTGATGTCCTGTCATCGGACAAATGCTTTGAGATGTGCTCAACCGACAAAGATTGTGTTGCAGCTACATATTCTCCAAACAACAAATTTTGCGTACTCAGAGATTCCTCTAGAGAAGATTCTACAGAGACTGAATTTGCGGTCGAAAACGGATTAGTATCTTATGACTTTTTGTGCAATGAAAAGACACCCAAGGGAGAGAAAACTGTGGATTCTGATGAAAAGATTGCTGAAATATCAGATATACCAACTCCTAAGCAGTCATGTTTACTAAAAGGTCAAGTTTTCCGTGGTGGATTATTGGACAGAAAAACTGATGTCCTGTCATCGGACAAATGCTTTGAGATGTGTTCAACCGACAAAGATTGTGTTGCAGCTACATATTCTCCAAACAACAAATTTTGTGTCCTGAGAGATTCCTCTAGAGAAGATTCTACAGAGACTGAATTTGCGGTCGAGAACGGATTAGTATCTTATGACTTTTTGTGCGATGAAAAAACACCCAAGGGAGAGAAAACTGTGGATTCTGATGAGAAGATTGCAGAAATATCAGATATGCCAACTCTTAAGCAGTTCTGTTTACTAAAAGGTCAAGTTTTCCGTGGTGGAAAACCAAAAAGAAAAACTGATGTCCTGTCATCGGACAAATGTTTTGAAATGTGTTCAACCGACAAAGGTTGTGTTGCAGCTACATATTCTCCAAACAACAAAATTTGTGTCCTGAGAGATTTCTCTAGAGAAGATTCTACAGAGACTGAATTTGCGGTCGAGAACGGATTAGTATCTTATGACTTTAAGTGTGACGAAAAGACGCCCAAAAAAGAAAAAACTGAAGATTCTGATGAGAACAGTGCAGAAATGTCGGATACACCAACACCTAAGCAGTCCTGTTTACTAAAAGGTCAAGTGTTCACAGGCGGATTCTTAGAGGGAAAGAAAGATATTGCAACCTCGAACAAATGTTTTGAAATGTGCTCATCTAATGATGAATGTTTTGCAGCCACATATGCTCCGAATATAAAGAATTGTTTCCTGAGAGATTCCTCGAGAGAAAATCCTAAAGAGACTGTATTTGCTACCAAAAACAACTTAATATCTTATGACTTTATGTGTGCAGGTAAGAAGCCTCCAAAAGATACCGAAGAATTAAAATTCGATGAAAAGATTCCCGACAAGTCAAAATCAATGATTGACCAGAAAAAACATACTGAAGAAGCATCTGAAAAATCAGCAAAAATCAAAGAAAAGAAGAAATCGGATAAACACGTTCCTAAACGGTTGAACGATACATCGACCAACACGGACAAATCAGGAATAAAACCTGAACAATCAATACCATCTGATAAATCAATTCCTGAGCATTCCTGTTTACTAAATGGTCAAGTTTTTACTGGAGGATTTGTAGAGGTCAAGAAAGATGTTGCATCTTCGGATGAATGTTTTGGAATGTGCTCATCTAATGACGAATGTTTTGCTGCCACATTTGCTCCAAACAAAAAGAATTGTTTCCTGAGAGATTCCTCGAGAGAAAATCCTAAAGAGACAGTATTTGCTACCAAGAACAATTTAGTATCTTACGACTTATTGTGTGCAGGAAAGAAGCCTCCGAACGTTCCAAAAGAGTTAGAATACGATGACAAGATACCAGACAAGTCGGCCAATACTCCAATAAAAGATACCGACAAAGACCAACCGTGTGTGCTACAAGAACAGATCTTCTCTGGTGGATTTTTAGAAACTGTCAGGACCATTAATACTCCGTTGTCTTGTTCTGAAGAATGTTTGATGGATGAGGACTGTACTACTGCATCCTATAACATAAAGATGAAGACATGTCTCTTGATGGATCAACACAGAAATGGACCAAAAAATAAGGCTGGTGTCATATCTTTCGACTTCTTGTGCAAGGTGGAATCTGGTCCTACCAAAGAAAATCCCTGTTTGCTAAAAGGTCACGTTTTTCGTGGTGGTCTATTGGAGAGAAAAACTGATGTCTTGTCATCGGACAAATGTTTTGAAATGTGTTCATCCGAGAAAGATTGTGTTGCAGCTACATATTCTCCAAACAATAAACTTTGTCTTCTGAGAGATTCATCTAGAGAAGATCCTATAGAAACTGAATTTGCGACCGAGAACGAAATTGTATCTTATGACTTTCTGTGCGATGAAAGGTCACCCGAGGGAGAGAAAACTGGGGATTCTGATGAAAAGACTGCTGAAATATCAGATATACCAATTCTTAAGCAGTCATGTATACTAAAAGGTCAAGTTTTCCGTGGTGGACTATTGGAGAGAAAAACTGATGTCCTGTCATCGGACAAATGTTTTGAAATGTGTTCATCCGAGAAAGATTGTGTTGCAGCCACATTTTCTCCAAACAATAAACTTTGTGTCTTGAGAGATACTTCTAGAGAAGATCCTATAAAGACTGAATTTGCGGTCGAGAACGGATTAGTATCTTATGACTTTTTGTGCGATGAAAAGACACCCAAGAAAGAGAAAGCTGGAGTTTCTGATGAGAAGATTGCAGAAATATCAGATATACCAACTCCTAAGCAGTCCTGTTTACTAAAAGGTCAAGTTTTCCGTGGTGGATTATTGGAGAGAAAAACTGATGTCCTGTCATCGGACAAATGTTTTGAAATGTGTTCAACCGAGAAAGATTGCGTTGCAGCTACATTTTCTCCAAACAATAAACTTTGTGTCTTGAGAAATACTTCTAGAGAAGATCCTATGGAGACTGAATTTGCGGTCGAGAACGGATTAGTATCTTATGATTTCTTATGTGAGTGCCAAACTTCTGAGGTCGATAAAATAAGTCACAGCAAACAAGAAAATAAAACGACCGATGAATTATCAGATGAGGACCCTATTAGCACTCCTCCTGATCCATCAGATGAGACTCTGCCAGCAAAATTTAAAACCAAATCAAGTTCCACTGAAAACCAATGCTTGCTTGTCGGTAAAGTTTTCTCGGGAGGTCTTCTAGAGAAACATGAAAACATTTCTACATCAGACGAATGCTTTGAAAAATGCTGGCTTGACGAAGAGTGTTATGCTGCTACATATAGTCCAATTAATAGTAACTGTTTTCTCCGTGACTCAACTAGAGACAAACCTTTAAAGACAAGTTTTGCTGTTGCCAACGGAATTGTATCATATGATTTTATTTGCGAGGGAAAAGTGATAAAACAAGCTCGTGATAAATCCAGAAAAGCAGTAAATCTGACGGCCTGCACTTTACGAGAACAAATGTTTCAAGGTGGATTGTTGGAGGTTATCGACTCTGTGCAAAGTCCTTCCGCGTGCTATGAAGATTGTTCGATGGACAAAAGTTGTGCAAGTGCGTCATACAGTTCAAGGACCATGAAATGCTATCTTAGGGACGAAAGCAGAACGGGCCCCATTTTCAGACCGTATTTTACATCATTTGATTTTTCGTGCACAGAAGGTACCACACAAAACATCTCCTCAGACGGGAACCTTAAGGACAAAAAAGAGGGGTGTCCTATGCCAGGATACATTTTCACTGGTGGATTGATTGAACTGTTATCCAAAATTGAATCTTCGGGTGATTGCTTCGAAGAATGCGCTATGATGGCAGACTGTGTTGCTGCAACTTTCTCTCCAAAAACAAACAAGTGTCTTCTGAGGAACTTAAAAAGAAGAGGACCTATCGCTACTCAATTCTCAAAAATGTCTGGAGACATCTCTTTTGACTTTCTGTGTTCTAGTGAAGTTAAAACTACAGAAGTAAAAGAAGGTCCTGATCCGTGTTTATTAAATAGCACAACTTTCACCAGAGGACTAATCGACTCAATCAACTCGGCTGTAAGTGCTAATGATTGTTTTGAAGAGTGTTCTATGGAGGATGGATGTACCGTTGCAACTTACAATCCGGTCACAAAGGAGTGTTTTATGAGGGATAAATTCCGCCGAGGTCCCGTGTCTTCTCTATTTGCAAAGCAGAACAAACTTATCTCGTATGATTTCGCCTGCAAGCACAGAATTTCTAATGGCGAAAAGCAAGATGTACAAGAAAAATATAACACCAAAACAAATACGGCAAGTAAAGCCAAGTTCCCATGCAGAATACCGGGCCAAGCATTCACTGGGAGAATACTAGAGACACTGGAAAACATCTTCAAGGGGTCTGATTGCTCAGAGGAGTGCGCTATGGATAACGAATGTGTGTCAGCGACATACTTCCCCACCACCCTCAAATGTTTCCTCAGAGACAAGTCAAGGAGAGGTCCTGCTGAGACAAAAATATCAAGGGCAAACAAGGTCATATCGTATGATTTCCTCTGTGATCCTAATAAGATAAAAACACCCAATTCCAATGGGACAGGCAAGATAATCCAGAAATCAGATAATGGGAGGGAGTATTGTGTTATCAAGAGAAAGTCATTTCCCGGGATGACACTTTCAGTAACAGAGGGTGTAGCTAGTCCTGACGACTGTATGACGAGCTGTTCATCTCAGACTGTCTGTGTGGCTGCTTCATACAATCCTATGAACCAGAAGTGTATCCTAAGAAGTGAACAAGGGGCTGCAACATCCACAGCATTTGCTGTGTACAACAATATTGTATCATTCGACTTTCAATGCAGAGTGCAGAAAGAAGTACAGAAGCATCCGAGAAAAGAACCTTGTAGACTCCCCGGTATGTACTTCACCGGTGAAATTATGGGGAGAGCCAGGAATGTTACGGAAGAATCTATCTGTGTAAATTTGTGTATGAAGACAGTAAATTGTGCGGCAGCAACTTATGACCCCACATTTAAGAAATGTTTACTGAGGGATAAAAACAGGAACGAAGCCAGCAAAAGCATCCAATCGGCTGCCCGCAAAATAGTTTCTTTTGATTTCCTGTGCGATTCAACTGTGGTTAAAGAAGCGGTTCCATGCAGATACCCTGGAAAGGTGTTTCCCGGGCACACGCTTAAGATACTCCAAGATTTTGACAACGAAGTGGGTTGTTTGGAAAAGTGTAAATCTATGAAAGATTGTGTTGCTGTGACGTACAACCCGACCACCGAGAAATGCTTTTTGAAGGACAAGTACAGGAGTGATCCAGTGGGGACAGATACTGCAGTCACTAATAAGATAGTATCATATGACTTGTTATGTAATGATGGAAGTGAAGCTGCTACTACTCCAGAGAATAATAGCAAAACTGCGAGTGATGAGTCGGATAGTGAAAACAAACATTCAGAAAGTGATACTAACGATATTGGTCATGGTGAAACTGAAAGCAATACTGATGGTGATATTGGAAGTGAAAGTAGTATTGATACAAGCGGGGATACTGAAAGTGATACTGATAGTGATAATGGTAGTGATATCGGAAATGAAAGTAGTATTAATACAGGCGGTGATACTGAAAGTGATACTGATAGTGATAATGGTGGTGATATCGGAAATGAAAGTAGTATTAATACAGGCGGTGATACTGAAAGTGATACTGATAGTGATAATGGTGGTGATATCGGAAATGAAAGTATTATCGACACAGGCGGTGATACTGATAGTGATACTGATAGTGATAATGGTGGTGATATTGGAAATGAAAGTAGTATCGACACAGGCGGTGATACTGATAGTGATACTGATAGTGATAATGGTGGTGATATTGGAAATGAAAGTATTATCGACACAGGCGGTGATACTGATAGTGATACTAGTAGTGATAATGGTAGTGATATTGACATTGAGACTTCTAATGATACAGGTGGCGAAATTAAAACCGATAAAACCACTACGAAAAATCCTGTTAAGTCTAACGATCCATGTAGACTACCGAACAAATTCTTCGTTGGGTCAGCTATACGCATTATTGAAAACGTCAAAAATGAAAAAGAATGTTTGGAATTTTGCCGGGATTTGGATACATGTTTCTCAGTCACCTACAATCCCACACAAAATAGGTGCCTTCTCAAGGATGAAACCAGACGAATCTCCTCATCTAGTGAGACTGCAGTCGCTTCAAAGATTGTTTCTTACGACTTTTTGTGTGACGAAAATCAATCAACAGAAGAGCTGAGAGTGAAACCAACAGAGGAACGAGAGTTTCCGATTTCGGAGGAAGAGGAGGAAGAGATAAAGTTTAATTTTGAAGAAAGATGTAGGCTTCCTGGACAATATTTCCCCGGTACCGCCCAGACAGTTCTAGATAGTATTGACGATGAATATGCTTGCTTTGTCCTGTGTCATCGCTCAGCGGCTTGCATTATAGTTACATATGATCCCACAACCTTGAAATGTATTTTGAATAACGAGAAAAGCTATCCAACGAAAAATCACGAATTTGATCAGAAAATCGTGTCGTATAACTTTTTATGTAGCGGAACCAAACAAATAGGTCACTCCCAGTCCAATCAACCATCTGAATCAGGAGAAGAAAAAACCTCCAGCAGTGATTTACAGAACAATACCATACTCCCTTCAAAGCAAAAAATACCTAACTCTGATTTCGGAGAAAAAGAAATTTCAAACAGTTCTCTGCAGGATAATGCCATAGATCATTCAAAGGAAGAAAAACCTAAGCACCCTTCAAATGCAGAAATACCTTTTAATAAATGGACAGATGAAGATGCATCCAGCAGTAATCTGCCAAATGATATAAAACATTCTTCAACTGAAATAAAACATAAACATGCTTCAAAGGAAGAAAAACCTACTATATCAAAAAATCAAAAATGTAGACTGGTTGGGGCCTTCTTTCCCAGTCCAGACGGAGCGATGAACGTGCTTTCAAACATTGAAGACGAACCCACCTGCTTCTTAGCCTGTGCTAACACAGATGGATGTTCGGCTGTAACATTCAATCCCACGTCCAATAAATGTATCTTAAAGAACAAAGAAAGAAGGGAACCAGTTACAAACACAATGGCACTCCAAGAGAACGTTGTGTCGTTTGACTTTGTTTGTATTCTCAGGGAAGGCCGTATAGCTGTTGCCCAGGCTTCGAAGACAAAGCTGCCACAACCCTGTCAACTAAGAAATCAGCAGTTTACAGGCCGATACCTGACCTCACTTGGGAATGTTGAGTCAAGTGAGGCGTGTATGAAGGAATGTGGTGAGTACAAGGACTGTCTGGTTGCGACCTATGTTACAACCTCTAAGAGGTGCTATCTCCGAGATAGAACACACGGCCAGGTAGAGACATCTATGTGGGCGGTTGATAATGGAGTAGTTTCATGGGACTTTTCCTGCTCGAGTGAGCCCTCTGAAATGCCTCCGAATGAAATCAAGTCCCTTCCCGAAGGTTCTGTTTGTAGATATGACAAGGCTTTCTTCCCAAAGGGTACAGTTGCTATCATAGATAATATCAGTGGCCCGAAGCAATGCGGGGATAGATGTAAAGATAATCCGAAATGCGAAGCTTTTACATTTGTTGTGAATGAAGGGTCGTGTACCTTGAAGTGCGATCTCCACGAGGAAGCTATCTCAACTCTGTGGGCTGTCAGAAATGGTGCCTATTCATTCATTATGAAGAACTGTAAAGACGGCGAATTCATTATTGAAGGACTCGATTCAGGTCGGTGTCATTCGGTTTCTTTTAATAGAAAATTTCCATATTAATATTAGAATTAAAAGTTATTTTGTTCCTCATTTTTTGGTTATTAGGAATTCCATGACCAATGAAATTAATGATTCATAATGATGATATATGAATGATATCTCAGAAAGTATATCGCGATCAACAAGAGGGACGAACTGTGCCTCAAGTACTGTGAGGTTCAAAGTGGGACGCTCCTACGACTTACAGTGCGCGCCGTAAGTTGGGCCCCTTAGTTTAATCTGTGACTTAAATTGTAAAACTTGGGTTATTTTGTAAAATTAAAATTTAAGTTAGTTTGTAATTCAAAAGTTAGTTTGTTTCAAAAGTTAGTTTGTAAACTCAAGAGTAAAATTAGTTTCCAATACGAATATTTAAAATACCACATTCCAGGACACAAGCTCTGAGAAGTATTCAGATGTTCGAAGTATCTTACAATATAGAATGCTGTAAGGTTCCTGGGGAAGTGCAGTCTTTCGAACACTTCTGTAATTATGAATCACATACCTGTCCTAGAGACACTGTTATTAATAGGAACCTTGTCTACGCAGAACGGTGAGTCTACTTTCTTTATTGTTTACTGTGAACAGTAAGTTTACTTTCGAAATAGATTTTACTACTAGTTGTTTCATTTACATTTTTTCACATTTGATACAGTCTGGTAGTGTTGAGTTTCATAAAGATTTTCCTAACCTCCATAAGTCATGTGGTTCAAGGCATCAAGCCTCATTGTAGATATTTTGGTCTTGTGCAAATGTAATTGTAAAACATTGATGTACAATTTATCTGAATTCTAAAATAAAATGCGGGTTGTATTTTCCTCTTACTCGGGTATGTTCAGATGTGTTTCATCGTGTCTTGAAGCTCAGTTTCACACCACCAAATATTGCTGGGATACGCCCGTTAAAAACGGTTACGGTGACTGTGGAAGTGGGTTTGTGAACAGTATGGAGGACCTGCCGGTATCTTTGGAATGCTGCAGTTTTCCAACTCCAGGTTGGTTCTTTCTTACAGGTTTAAACTTTAAGTCGATATAAATCTGGCTGCAGGAATCGGTTAATCTAAGAACATTTATCCCGTATCCAACGATATATTTTGATTTACTGGCGTAAACATCATACCACATGCACATCTTGTTTTGGTCCTTAGATATATATCACTGTTTCTGGTAGTACACTATAGAACACCGCTCTGTATCGATATGTTCTTCCGTCATATTTATAATACAAATCTCCTCCTCAGAAGATTACGGTGGTTAAGGTGAGTTTGGAATGCTCGACAGACTCTGAATGTGAACTTTAAATAATTTATTAATACTGGTATATTTACTACGTGTAAAGATGACGAAGCTCAACCTTACTATTCTACTATCCTTAAATGTATTTGCTTATTATATTCATGTAATGTTAAATCTATGTCATGAGCGCTTTTTTCTATGAATCATAATATGATTGAATTTGTATAAATTTTCAGTAAGCAACTTCGTTCTAGAATTTGCGTAGAATTCCTTGTTAATTTCACTTTCAGTCATGTAACATCATCGTCGTGCACTGATTTATCACTATCAGATGATAATTGTACTTTTTTCTTATTTTTATTCTTTATGTTAAATAAGATGATAAAGACATGTTTTATTTTGTCTTATTCAAGAAGATTTAGAAAATAAACTAGCCTAAATCATTTGGAAACCCGCCTCCTCCCTCGGCTGATTACGTATTATGTGAACGACCCCTTAAAAGTCTACAACTTTGAGCCGGTCACATATCTTATAAGCGTATAGTCACCTAATAATAGAACTGTAATTTTATTCACGAGGAATAACGCTTCCAGTCACCTCGTACACTTAGGCAACGTTGTCTTCCTAACACTTAAATATTCAAAAACTCTACTACTTGTAATTTCAGACTACAAGAGTCTTACAATCTGACATTTCAAGTAGTCTAGTTTATTTGAATAAAATTACAGTTCTATTGTTAGATGAGTGTAAGTATAAGAGGGGGCTGGGTGCCTGATATGGGACCGGCTAAAAGATATAATAGACTAAGGAAAGAAATTTAGACAAGAATAGAGTCTCTTCTCTCAGTTTAGTTCATTAATATTCAAAAATTCAGACCCGAGATGAAGATTAACTCGTGTACGTATTCTAATGCTGGACCGAATGTAAGGATCCCAAGGGTCCTGGTATTACTATTATAGCTCAGAAAGCCCAGAAAATGTGAGAGTCTAAAAAAGATTTGATGATATCAATCTATGTTTATGCACCTTAATTTGGGGTATTATTGCCATCAGACAGGATATAGTTTATAAAGTTACTAGAAAACCCGTGGTCACAGGGAGGAAACTAATAGTATTTTTTGTTAGTGAGTTTAAATCGCGTCAAAATATCCTACACAACCGAAGATACAGCCGATTAAAATGTTGCTCGAACTAAACACAACGTAATATCAACAAAACCGATTAAAATGCCGTTCGCCAATCATTGCACGTGCACGTGCGTGTAAAAATCCTCGTTACCATGGTTACTTTGCAACCTTTTGCTTTTTGCCGAATTTGCACGTGGGCGGTCGTACATACATACATACAGACAAAAATAATTCTCTGAATTATAGTAGAGATAAGTTGATATCACAGTTTAAGCGTTCTCTCCTGTTACATTTCACAAAATGAAATAGTTCGTTTTTAATGAAGGTAAAAGATGGTACTAATAATATAAGGCAACATAGATATTCTAACATAATACCAAAAAAGGTATTTAAGATTTCAACCAGTAGAACTTAACTTGAAAACCAAAATTTACAATGTTTATTGATTCTGAAAAACTGTGTAGATGCTTAAGTAAAATATACGATTGAGGGTTACAATTTAACCACTGCTAAAATAAAAAGAACACGACGAAAAATGTATATTATTCGTAAAATGTCATTCAATTGGCCTTGGCTAATGGCTACTAGAGCTGTAAAAGTATACGAGAATTCGTACCAGTATCTGACCATTGTGCCACGATAACAACAAACCAAGTTTTACTTAGAGTAATGAAATAAGTTATTAACCACGAAAAACAAAAAGAATATTTTGATTCTTGAAACGTTAAATTTGAGTGAGGCGAAAGTTTTTAAAAGCAACAGCTTCCACAAAAAATTGTTCCTCGTGTTCAGCAATAATCTAAGTGTTTTAAGTGTTCTCAACTGATTCTATAAACTGTTAATTGTTCATACCAGGAGTGATATTTATTCTTCGTCCACAGGTTTAGATATTATCCCTCCCAGTGCAATCCAGCTAGTGCGCTCCCCTGCATGTTCCGGTGCTTGCTGCAGTTGGTGCTGGCAGAATGAGAGGTTGGCTGAAGGAGAGGTTGGCTGAAGGAGAGGTTGGCTGAAGGAGAGGTTGGCTGAAGGAGAGGTTGGCTGAAGGAGAGGTTGGCTGAAGGAGAGGTTGGCTGAAGGAGAGGTTGGCTGAAGGAGAGGTTGGCTGAAGGAGAGGTTGGCAGAATGAGAGGTTGGCTGCAGTTGCTGCTGGCAGTAGGAGAGGTTGGCTGCAGTTGCTACTGGCAGAAGGAGAAGTTGGTTGAAGGAGAGGTTGGCTGAAGGAGAGGTTGGCTGAAGGGGAGGTTGGCTGAAGGAGAGGTTGGCTGAAGGAGAGGTTGGCTGAAGGAGAGGTTGGCTGAAGGAGAGGTTGGCTGAAGGAGAGGTTGGCTGAAGGAGAGGTTGGCAGAAAGAGAGGTTGGCTGAAGGAGAGGTTGGCTGAAGGAGAGGTTGGCTGAAGGAAAGGTTGGCTGAAGGAGAGGTTGGCTAAAGGAGAGGTTGGCTGAAGGAGAGGTTGGCTGAAGGAGAGGTTGGCTGAAGGAGAGGTTGGCTGAAGTCTAAGCCAGTGTGGCCCTTAAAAGTCGTTCAGCACGATGTAGAACATGAACCCGATAATATCCTGAAAGTAAAAGTATAGTAATAAATGTCCAATCCATCAAAAGTATAATAATAAGTGTCCAATCCATCAACTCACTATGCAATGTGAGTCGGTTTTGTGAACAAGATCCCCCTGTCAGCAAATTTAATCATGGCTAAAAAATCTCATGTGATCAATTTCTCAGCCCCTATTCCCCCTAAAACAGCTAACCTGTCTGCTGTTGGGAAGGATGAAGATGTACTACATCCCAAATGTACTACATGAATATCCAAAAAGTCCAGCTAGTGCCCAACAGTAATATTACCCCGCCTGCTGATTTGAATCTTCCCTGAAACACAAGTTTGTTAGAACTTGAATTTTTAACGATGAATGTATTGGAGGTAGCCGAACACTGGGAGACGCGAGATAGTGTCAGTTTGACAATATCAATTAACGTTATTGTTCTTAGTGGCCAGATATTTTTCAAAATTTAGGATCAAACTCACCAGAGTGCGTTGCTGATCGGAGATGTTTCTGGCAGATTTCTTCTCCGCGATGACCTTAGCGATGGGCCCAGAAAGAAATGGCACACAGAAGGGAATACTCTTAGGTCGGATAGAGCTCATCTCACTATCCGTGTTCAGTGAAGAAGAGTTCGCCTGTCGTTAGTTTCTTCGTGAAGATGTCGTAGCCTAAGAACGAAATCAGGAGCGGAATTCCTGTAAATGTAATGTGCGTTCCTTTAAAGTTAATCAAGTAAACAAAGGCGATTCAAGGAATAAATATTAATAAATTCCGTACCGAAAATAGTACGGAAAAAAATATTGATAGTCGACGAAAGAACTTAGATGTCATCTAGAGAGGACCTAGTAAAAATACTAAATGATATTAACACTAACAGTACTGAAATGTCGACATTCCACAACTTACGAGGTTGTACTTTATCACGTACTTGGAGATCTGGGAATCTGAACACCCAACCATTCACCCGAAAGAAAGCTGCCAAAGGTTGGGCATAGTAATACTCCACGCAACCTGCGGAAGTTGGAAGTATGTTGTGATGGTCAATCAATTAAAAAATTGAGTGATTACCAAATAAATTAAGTGATTACCAAATAACCAAAGAAACAACAAATAAGGAGTACCAAAACTGACCTGTTTGATGTGTTAAGTGTCCTCTCACTTCATTCTGGTACAGAAAAAATGGAAACCATTTCTGGGACCGGAACTATGCCAATGCAATTTGAGATCTCAATGGTGCTCATTGGGGGGGAGGGGGGGAGGAGGGGGAATGAGGTGGGGGTTTATTTTAGGGTAAACTTTTAAATTTGTAATTCAATGTTCTATGATAATGTGACAATTTCCAAGAATTTCGTGATTCTTCAAATAGATATATAAACTTCAAATAAAACTATCTATCTGTTGTAGCCAGGATTTGTAACATGGGAATTTAATTCAGATGTCATCAGCTTTTGAAAAAAGTGCTGCTTGAAAAAGGTTGTATGCATCCAAATATTTTTGGGGATTCGCTTCAGAATTAGGGAGGGGGGATAGAGTAAGAGGTGATAGTGGATAGATGCCCCCACATTTGGGGATAGGTATTTACTCCTGGATTTGGGCGTAAGGTAAAACTATAATTATAAACCTTAAGTCCGAATCTGGGAGAAAATACCTATCTGGTATTCTAATACTATTAATGGTATATATACCAGTTATAGAATTAGAATACCAGATAGGTATTTATAAATACACCAGATTCCCCCGAATTTGCTGACGATCGGGAGGTGGAGGAAACAATGACTTCTGAAATTTCAGCCTTTAATCTGTTCTGTCGACTGAAATAATTCGGATTTATTAGTATTAGTACTAGTTTTAATGCGGTATGGTCGACTTATCAATATGCAATACAACGAATCAAGGTTTCATGTGTATCGTATCATTTTCATCATTGTTATGGAAAATATGGATAAAATAGAAATTGATCCTGTTAAAGTCTGCGACTATATCCAACATCAACCAGCTGTGATTGCAGAGTATCAAGGGCACATTCCTCGCTAGGATTAGCTGAAATATTAAACATGATACTAATTTAAATTATTGCAATTAGTAAATAGCAA